ATCAGACAGGTAGGCAGGTGCTAGGGTATGAAAGGATTTGTACACCAGTGTGAAGATCTTGAACCTGATCCGTTCTGTAATACGGAGCTAGTGGAACCTGGCAAGGACTAAGGTGATTGGTAATGGGGTTTGCGGGTGAGCGTACAAGCCAGGACACCAGGCATGTAAATGGGACTGAAAGGATTGCTCTTTCGGCACAGACGCAATGGGCTGAATGGCCATCTGTGCTGTAAATTTCTATGGTTCTATGTTTGCATTGCGTAGGCGAAGACAGGAGAAAGAGGCAGAAGGGTTCTGTGAGACAGCGTGGTTGCAAAAAAGCATTTGCAAAACTGAAACACTGTTTTGATAAGTGGTTCTGGTTTGCGATTGAAATTATTATTAATAATGATTACATTTGGTATAGCGCCTTTCACTTTGGGAGGACCTCTCAAAGCTCTTTACAGGTTTTACTGTAATGTTTGCATACACCAGTGTTCCACAAACAACCATGAAGTGAGTGAATAATTTTATCTGGGGGATTGTTGGCCAGGGAGAAACACTATAAAATAAAATAATAATCTTTGCATTTGATATAGCGCTTTTCACATCTTCTCGACGTCTCAGAGCGCTTCACAGAATATCCGGTAATGTGAATTGACTATATTTGTGGGCGAAACGCAGCAGCCAATTGCGCACAGCAGTGTCCCATAAACAGCCGTGGATTGAAGTGACCAATTTATTATTGTTTTTTTCTTGCTGGATTATTATCAGGCGTATAGAGTAAGGAAACTTGCGAGGCAATGCTCTAACCAGTGAGCTACAGGACTCCACTCTTTCCAAATAGCACCATGGGAATCTTTAATGTTCACCTGAGCATTAAACCTCATGCAACCTCAGTTGAACATCTAAGCTAAAAGACAGCTTCTCGCAACAATACAGCATACCCCCAGCACTGCACTGGAGTGTCAATCTAGACTATGACCTCAAAATGCCAACATAGGACTTAAACCCACCACCTTGTGATTTAGAGGCGACAGTGATACCAACTGAGCCAGGGGTTAACGCTTCATTTATATCTGAATATCTGATTTCACAGATGCAGATATATATTATACACAAAAAACACCAGGAACATAGTATACAGCAACTTCAACCAATCACCCTCCCAATGATTCCTGAAATGAAACTCGAATATTTTACAAAAGGCAGAATAAATTTGTCATCCTGTTTTTGATTACCAACTTTATGAGGACGTTAAGCAGCCAGGCATGGAAATAGATATTAATAATAGCAATCTCCTTGTGCTTCACAGTCAGTCTCGGGTGATGCAAAATAAGTGTGTGATGGCACGACTGATTCTGTGGGAGTGAGGGATACTGTGCGAGAGGAGGAATTTTGCTTGAATACCATTAAAAAGATAATGAGAGTTTAAGTTTGGTTCCAGTGGGGTCAGGGCACTCGGAACGACATCCCATGTTCCGCATCCTTAAACGACCGCACCGTATCATTTTAGAAATACTATATCATCCATTCGGCTTTTATCATCGCCACTCCAGCTGCTACCTGCCTCTTTCAGGAAGCCCTCTGCGATAATTCTGCGAAGCAGTGCGCTGAATTTGCATGAAACTAAGCTTTACACTTTTGACTTTTGTGAACTGCTTTATTTTAACTCCCTTTTCAAGTGTTTCTGAGCACAGTGTCCACCTCAACATTTTTTAATTGCCCTCCTCCTCCCTTATCTCCTGCATTATAGGTGACGGAAAGCCTTGAATATTGGGTCAGAGAGCATCCATCTTGGCAGTAGTAAATGTTATGTGTGTTCTCAGCTATTCTAAAAATGTAGGCATTATTTCCATAAGGTCGACTTGTCATTGTTTAGCTTGTCCTTTCCTCCAGCTGGGCTACTTTTCCTTATCTCTTACACAGCAAAAAGAAGCTTTTGGACTGAGCTGCTGTCTGGCTCTTTTGACCGATTAAGTCATAAAACATCTTTGCATTCAGTACCGTGCAATGCCCTTCACCTCGGGAGAACTGCTCAAAGTGTCTGACTCGAATGAGGGACAAAGTTGGAAATATTATCTACTTTCAAAATTTAACACGCTCATTTATGCTATACACCCATCTTTATCTGTAACTCTCACTTGGTTCAAGCCACACTTTGGGATTTTGAGCTCTCGCAGTCTAGGCTGACACTCCAGTTCAGAGCTGAAGGTGTCTGCAATGTCTCGAGGGACCATCCTTCGCACGAGACATTAAACCAAGGTCTAGTGGATGTTAAAGATCCCATGGAAATATTTGAAAAGAGAAGGGATTTTCTCCCAGTGTCCTGACCAACAATCCCCAAGATAAAATTGGTCATTCACTCCATGGCTGTTTGTTGGGAACATCACAATGTACAATTGTCCTGCCCCGTTCGCCTAAAAATATACAGTCACTCCACTTTACAGTAATTCCCGTGAAGAGCTTGGAGCAATCTTGATGACGTGATAGGGCGCTGTATCAAATGCAAGGAATGTAATATATTAAAATTACAATTATTGCAAAACTTGGGTATAATGCAATAGCCCAATAAATGAGAATGTTGCGATAGTCGAGTTAGCTGCATTTTGGGGAATAAAAATACTTTCATGGGCAGAAAAGGATTGATTTACAGGATATCGCCAATGCTGGTTTGTCAAGTTTTAGCCTCCAACGGAGATTAATTAATATCCGTTCTAGTTCAGCAAAGTGGGAAGCAGTTTTCGCAGACAGAAATTGCACAGAGCAGTTTCTGGAAAAACTGCTGCGAATGTGCAGACATTAATAACCCTCAGTATAGTGCCTTTCAAGTTGGGAGGATGTCCCAAAGAGCTTCGCAGAATAGACTGTAATGAGCAGTGACTGTTGTGAGCGAACGACAACTAAAACTAGGTTCCAAGCATCAGCACTGACTGCTGGAGAGTAGTTTTAACCCCTGTTCCACCCCACAAATGAACTCCTCATCAGAAACCTTTGTGTCTCATTTGCTCATCTACGAATAGTATCTACATATAATGCATATTAATAATCCTCTATGTTTGATTTAGCACCTCGTCAGATCATTGAGATGGTTCAAAGATCTTCACAGGTTATTAATGTGGGTTTGTGGCGGCAGCCAATTTGCACATAGCAATGTCCTACAAACAGCCAAGAATTGAGGGACGAATTTTTATTTGGGTGAATTGTTGGCCAAGACAGCAGGAGAAACTCTCTTTTTGAATAGCGCCATAGGATCTTTACCGTCCACCTGAACAGGCATAGATGGGACCTCGGATTAATGCCTCATCCAAGAATGTCTGATTTAATGCCGCTTCCAACAACGCAGCACATCCCCAGCACTGCACTGGAGCGTCAGTGTGTCTACATGTGCAAACACTGCAAAGCTTTATTACCTTGGAATGAGTGTACAAAGCATGCACATCGTTCAGTGCTTTCCTGTCATAAATCACGGAAACAATGAGGTTTACAGAAGACAATGGATATGGCTCTGAATTCCAGACCATTAAACTGCAGGGAGTTCAGATATCAATCACCAGACGAGGGAAGTTTTGTCAGCCTGTATCTATCATCTGAATCGCAATCCGATTGCACGCGTTAACTCACTGCAGGACAGACAGTGTTATTTATAATGCATGTTTACACTTCAAAAATTCACATTTNAAAAAAGGTGGTGAGTTTTTCATGCAGGATTTGTGGAGTCCTGTAGCTCAGTGGTTAGAGCACTCGCTTTGCAAGTGAGAGAACTGAGTTCAATTCCAGGCAGAGGGCGAAACCTTGGGCAAGTTTCCTTACTCCACACGCATAATAATAATCCCTCCAAAACCAAAAACAATAATAAAATTGGTCATTTTCAATCTACGACTGTTTGTGGGACATTGCTGTGCGCAATTGGCTGCCGTGTTCGCCTCCAAATATACAGTCAATTCACTTTACAGTGTGTTCTGTGAAGCGCTTTGGGGCATCCTCCCCGACATGAAAAGCGCTATATCAAATGCAAGGATTATTATTATATTATTATTTCCTTGCTATTTTCCTGCAGTGGGTCCTGTTGGAGGTATAGAACCATAGAACTTCACAGCACCGAAAAAGGCCATACTGTCTGTGCCAGCTCTTTTAAAGAGCAATCCTGTCAGTCCCATTTACCTACCCTTTCCCCCGTACCCCTTTTTCGGTATTTCATAATAATAATAAACCTTATATTTGATACAGCGCCTTATTACGTAGTTGAGCAGTCTCAAGGCGCTTCACAAAATATATTGTAAAGTGGATTGACTGTGTATTTTATGGGCAAAACGCAGCAGCCAATTGTGCACAGCAGGTCCCGCAAACAGTCGCGGATTGAATGACCAATTTTTTTAATGGAATTATTACCCCCGGAAAAACGATCCGCCAATCGACTGACACCGGGGTTCCTACTTACTACTAGGTAAATAGAGGCGTGTGGAGTAAGGAAACTTGCCTACGGTTTCGTCCTGCCAGGATAGAGGGTAGGAGAGAGAGTGTGCTGCACAGTATGATGGAAAATTGAATGAGTAAAAGCCTAATTCTGTTGGGAGTTTTTTCCGACGTAGTTGCTTCATGGATCTGAGCTTCTCTTAAGACAGTACAAACGATTTAAAGAATTAAGTGGCAGCCATTGAAGTTGAATACAAGCCGTTCAACTTGTGAGTTCAGTTAAACAGCTTGAATTAGTCTCCAGTGTCTCCAGCAGAAACATGCGCAGCGAGCAGTGACTATTTGTTCTGGTGGCACTCTTGCTCTGAAGGAAGCACTATCAGCCAGTCAGTCAGTCAGTCCACTTTCATCAGCTAAAAGCGTGGAACCAATTTAACGTGGCTGCGTCCATTTGTTGCCGTCAAATTGAACCACTCACGCAAAATGAAACCATTGCTCAGAGAGAGCCCTTGGCTGATGGCGAGGGGAGAAGCAATAATGGCCTAGAATTCAGCCCTGCTCAGCAAATCCTCCCTTGATTTAAATGTGGTTTCTTCACTTGACAGGTTCACAGAAAATGAGTGATGGTGATGAAAATTCGCAAACTCAAGGTACGAATTATAATCTGTCGCTTTGAGGAGTCTTCTCATTAATAGATGTTCCGGACGTAGGGTGCACAGTCTGTTACACCAATTTATTGGATCACGGCAGATCTTTTAATCTCATTTCCCTGCCTTTTCTCCATATCGCTTAATACTTTTACTTTTCCAGTGCTCATCTATCTTGATTCGAAAACTCCCAATCGATTCTGCAAGGTTCAGTTGATGTTACTGTTTCTAAAGCTCCTGTTTCATTGTCACTGTGTTTGCCTAATGGCAAAATGTTTTTTCTTGATGCAGAAATGTTTTTTCTTGAAATGTTTTTTCTTGATGAATATGAGGCGAAATTCTACCTCTCAATTTACTCTTATTTATTTATGAGCAGCATTTAAGGGCCCCCAGAATTTGGCAAATTCTTAAATGCAGGCTCCATCTTGAAACCGTTTTCCCCCAAATTCCCTTTAAGAACCACTCAAAAAAGTCAAAAGTTAAGATACAAGATTGAATTCAACAAATTGCCAAATTTAAATCTTTAATACTAAAAATAATAATAATAATCCTTGCTTTTGATAGAGGGCCTTATCACGTCTTTGGGACGTCTCAAAACGCTTCACAGAATATAGTGTAAAGTGTCGTGACTGTATATTTTGTGGGTGAAATGTGGCAGCCAATTGCGCACAGCAGTGCAAAATATTTTTAGAGGCGGATATTATTGCCTTATCTTTTTCCACCCCTTTCCCTTTTTATTGGGAGGAAAAATGCGAAATGTGATGTGTTAATTATCACAAGTTGGGTAAAATCCTGCCCTTAAAATCCCTGTCCGGGAATAATTTCAGTCTCCCGCAGTCCATCGATTGAGATAAACAGCAGGGACTGACATTGTTATCGGCCTTGTTGGAAAAGACTGAACAGGCCCAGCCTTACAATGAAGATCTTACAGGCTGCCTGCCTCCAATAAACCTGGATAAGTTAAAAGATAAAACTTAAAATTTTGCTTCTGCATGTGGCAAAGGGGGATACAGAAGGTTAAGAGGACAAAGAATGCTGTGCCCCAGAAAGCTGCAGAGGTGGAATCAATCGGGATATTTTAAAAGAGAGATAGACACATCTTGGACATACTTTAAAAGAAGTATTAAAAGGGTAAAAGCGAAAGGATAGGCTATTGGTACTAAAAGTACTAAAAGATCTGCCAAAGGTTGAATAAACTGGTGGGACAGGCTCAGTGGGCTTACATGGGTTCCTCCTGATCCTCTTTTCCAGTGTTCCTGAACTATTCTCCAATAATCTGGTAGCCGGGGGGGGGGGGGGGGGGGGGGGGCAGCAGGGGGTGGGGGGTGGGTAGGGGATGACGACGACAAAGAGAAGATATTCAGCCCCAAAGAATAGTATTTTAAGGACTCGTTTTGCTCACATTTTCAGCCCTTGTGATCAAAATATGATGGTGATCACATCACTCAGTGCATTTCTTCTAATATATTTAAATATATTTAAAGATAAAAGAGAACTAATATCCTCCAACCCCACACACCTGTAGTCAAACCTTACAGAGGATGTCTGTCTTTCTCCTCCACTCCCCAACCCTGTTAAATGATGGCCCAATTCAAGGACGATTGTAAAGTTTCTTTGCCAGAGTGAATCATTTGAGCGAAGAGTTGTTTCATAACCACCAGATTAAGCCTTTAACTGCTTGCAGTACACTGATTATTTCCCTTTTTCCCACTCCTCTTGCATTTATATACTTTCTTGCTCCTTCCCTTAAAACTCTCCGAGCCCATATGCAACCTAGGCGTCAGGTTCGACCCCCAATTATCCTTCCTCCCCCACATCCGGTCCCTCATCAGCACCATTTTCTTCCACCTCCGACGCATCGCTCGTCTCCGCCAAACCTCTCTCCGAAAGCCGCTGGAAAACCTGGTCCATGCCTTTGTCACCTCTCTGGACTATTCTAAACCCCTCCTCGCCGGCCTCCCATCCACTACCATCCACAAAATCCAGATTATTCAAAACTGCCGCCCGCATTCTCACCCGCACCAAACTCCGCTCCCCGATTACCCCAGTCCTTGCAAGACTGCACTGGCTGCCTGTCCCAGAGAGGATCGACTTCAAAATCCTCACCCTTGTCTTCAAATCCCTGCACTCCTCTGCATCCCTCTACCTCTCTGACCTCCTCTATCCTCAAAACAGTACCCGTTGCCTTCGTTCCTCCGGGTCTGGCCTCCTCCTTGTCCCCCGAGTCCTCCGCTCCACCCTCGGCCGCCGTGCCTTCAGCCACTATGCTCCGAGGCTCTGGAACTCCCTTCCTCACTCCCTTCGCTTCCCCCGCTCTTCCTATTCTCAGCTCTCGGCTGAAGACCTTTCTTTTTGACCGCGCCTTTGGTTACCTTCCCCCCCCCCCCCCCCCCTCTGGCTCGGCCCCGCGATCGGTTACTGTGAAGCGCTCTGAGACGCCGTCCGGCATGGAGGGCGCTATATAAATCCAAGTTGTTGTTGTTTTTCATGTTTGACATCAAATCCGGGTTGAGCCTGAACTTTCTTCAGCTGAATGTGGGCATGACAGGAGCCGTTCTTTTTGTCTCCCGCCAGCCTCTCTTTGCTTCCAGCTGTGATTTCCTCAATTTCCTTTCGGGCCTGTCTCTCAATCTCTCTCTCTAACTCACGGAATCAGCGTGCAACCTTAGCGTTTAATCGAATCCTCAGCTCTCCTCCCTCTCTCACATCTGCTTCCTGACCCAAACCGCTTTCTGCATTTTCACTACATCGGCCACCTCCGTCCCTATCTCACCCACAACGCGGTCAAAACCTTCATCCACGCCTCCGAGATCTTCAGACTTTGTTTTAGTTTGCTTTCTTCCCACTCCTCTATTAATGACCACCCCCCCACCACCGCCCCTCCAAAAAAGAGTCACTGTGAGCTGATCCAGTTAAAAGTCCCTCTCACATGACATGCCTGATACAAACACACGCACTGTGTCTGTGTGGAAGCATTTGCCTAAGTCCGTTCCAGGGCTGTAACAATGAGACATGGAATTGCTGTTCACACACTGAGCCTGAGGGAGAGCCAGAGAGTGGGAAAACTAAAAAGACACGGGACTAGGCGAGAATACCCTTTTCACTGTTCGTTTCAACCCTATTTTATGTTAGACCAGGACTTTAAACAGTTAGGGCTCCTCACTTCACTTCACACGTTATATTGAGACTGTGTGCGGCCGCAAGGTACTCGAGTGTTAATCAGGACGAGGGGTTTTCTTCCGCTCCCTTTCCCCACTTCCAACTGAAACCTAGACATTTCATGGCGAACACAATACTATAGAGGCATAAAAATGGACAGTGCAGAAGGAGGCCATTCAGCCCATCGAGACCTCACAAAAATATTGAGGATATTTCATTAAATTAAAACAGGCAGCCACAGATGTTGGTTGATACCCGTTGACATTAAATAATAATATATACAATAATAATCCTTGCATTTGATATAGTGCCTTATCACCGAGTTGAGACGTCTCAAAGCGCTTCACAGAATATAGTGTAAACTGGATCGACTGTATATTTTGGGGGCGAAACGTGGCAGCCAGTTGCGCACAGCAGTGTCCCACCACCAGTCGTGGATTGAGTGACCAAATTATTATTATTTTTCTTTGAAGGGATTATTACCCCATGTGATCACTTCATTTCCATAAACTATCCACCAATTTAATATGCTTACAAAATGTCATCCATGAACAAAGTAATCGATCCTTTTACCTTCAAATTGTCCTGAGCCCATGGTCATTCCACCTGGCATACGCAGCTAATGCAGCCTAATATGATTCTATATTATGTAATGTTTTACAGGGGAAGATAAGGAGCACATACCCTATATTGATGATATTGAAGAAGGTATACCAAATTCTCTTGTTTGACAATGATCTTGGGAAACTAGCCAGATATAACACGGCACAGAGTGTTCGGAAAGCAAATTCACGCCCAAAAGCCAAATGGGACAAAAAAAAATACAGAATAAATTCAGATACAGCCGGGCGAGATCTTCATTCAATTCGACTCCCAGCTTTTCTCTTGATGAATTCAAAGACAATTTTGTCTTCAACGTCCTTGTACACGTCACGAAAAAAAATCCTTTCTCCGAACTCCGCGTACTACCCAACATTTCACTCCGTTATCTGAGAACACAGGTGGAGGGAGGGGGTGGGGGTGGTCTCAACGCCTTTCCATCACCCAACTCAGCCCAGCCCAACCGACCGGCAGTATATTGTGGTGAATGGTGGGATCGCTAGGAAGATCCATTGTCTGTATGGCTCCGTACCGCACCACGCGGTGCATTGACCAAACCAGGGAGAGGGGAGAGGAAGCGTTTGATTNAAAAAAAATCGCAGATGCTCTTCTTGTCTGACTTCTCCAAGTTGCGACGTATTTGTTGATTCATTTTGTGTTTCTGTTTCAACAGAGACCGAAAAGTGAAACGAAAGCGAGGATTCAGGCTGCCAAACTCAAGATATGTCTGTTTGTGAAGGCAGACATAAACCCCCACCCACCCCACCCCACCCCGTAGACCTCCTGGAAGGCTAACGGAACATACTTGTGCTTGAGTTTAGATAGCCAACTTGTTCATTTTTGTGGATCGAAATTCAGTTTGTATTATGTTTCGTAATTGTACTATTGAATAGAATTTTTTTCTGGCCTGATCTTGTGCTTCTAAATAGCAATACTGTTCCTCGCACTGCCTGCAGCTGCTGTTTTAAATTGAGTCAGACCTTTGATCCAGATGTTGGATCTGCTTCACACCGTGGCCGAGCGAGCTGATTGCGTTCATTGCAGCTGCACTGGGACGCATTGGGTTACCCAACTACTTTCATTTGTATAGCACCCTCACTCAGGGTAGCATTCCCAGAGCGCTTGAGAGTGGGGGAGCACGACACCGAGCCATGGGGAGGGAGGAGGTGACCATGGCATCATCGAAGAGGAAAGTCTTAAGGCGCGACCTGAAGATGGGGAAGGAGGGGGTAAGGAGGATGGATAGAGGAAGATTAGATTACATTGGGTCACATTGAGTTACACTGGGTTACATCCATCTTTTAATCACTACTTACTTTACACTGGCTTACACTGTTTCACACCACGAAATATGAAGTCAATTCACTTACAGAATATCCTGTGAAGCGCTTTAAAACGTCTCAATGACGTGATAAGATGCTACATCAAATGTAATTATTATTATTTATTATTACTTTAGAAACTATTTTAGATATAAGGATACAATAATCCCGTCATGGACGGGCTGAACAGCCTATTTCTGGGGCTTGTCACTCAGTGTAATACTATTGTTGGTGGCTGAACAAATCCTAACTTTACCTAACTCACTAACCACCACTACTGCGTCTCCAGGAAGCCTTGACTAGCCTAACCCTGGCTCTTATCAACCACCTGAGCCACCTATTTGGGGAGGCTAGTAAAGGGCAGCTTATTCTTGCAGCATCTTAAGAGCTCGTCCTTTCGACACTCTCAGCCGGTATTGAGCACTGGAACCCACATACAACAACACTATAGTGTCACAAGTCCTTTGGATGGCCCTGCTTATTGCAATGGGGATTTTCAGTGACTGGGATAGATGGTGCTCTCACCATGTCCCGAGCACAGAGCCACGGAAACAGCTGTGCTTCCCATGGAATCCATTGGGAAATTGAATCTATTCCAAAATAATACCTCTGCGTTTTCCCCTGAAACTGGTTTATGCTCCATCAGACCCTGAGGGATGCCAAACAGCTATAGGAATGTAAAAATGCCTCCTATTCCTTAAACGTTCTGCCAGCTCTGTACGACAATAGCTGCGACGACCTTGTCATGGGTTTGTAACTGATTGGAAGTCGCCACAAGGCTGTGACTTTTTCGCCACAGCTGAAAAACCGCAGTTAAAAATACTTCAGCAATCCAGCGTTCCCTCCTGTTGGATCTGCAGTAGAACCTGCCGGAAGGTTTCTCTTAGTCTAGAAATAATCCGGGGCAGTGATAACAACAACTTGCATTTGTATAGCGTTGCTTCACACAGGGCAATGCTCTTAAATAGCCCTTCATCAGAGGTTTCTGAAGAGCCCTCAAATAATTGACTTTTTTTAAAAAAGTTATGGTGAGGGGAGGGTCAGCTGAAACTTTTTTCAAAACACGAAGCAAAATGTAACAATAAAGGTTCGCTCTTTCCAATTCTAACCCGTTCCCAGGGACTTGGGACGTCCTCCTGACGTTAATAGCACTATACACGTGTAACTCTTGTTGTTCCTTTAGATAAGAACATCAACAGCGCCCCTCACGCAAGGTAGCATCCCCAGAGTGATCGACAGTGACGGAGCACAAATGCCGGGGAGGGGAAGATGACCATAGAGGAAGGTCGAAGAGAAAGTTGCCAGATAAATTAGTCACTAAGCTTAGGCATTTAGTTCTTGTTGCTATCATGCCTCTCTCTCTCTCCCCCACCCCTCCCTCTCTCTCCCCCTCTATCTTAGTCCAAAGAAGAAAGGGCTGTACGAAAGCGCTCCGAAACGCCCTCTAGCGTGAAGGCCCTCTATATAGATGCAAGTTGTTGTTGTAGCCTGAACCCCTTGCTCACCTCCTGAATTGCAGCCTCTAGCCCTTCATTCACCTTTTAATCACACTTCCTAATTGATTTCAAGTATCAAGGTCCGTCTGACGTGCATTTAAACACAATACAATGTAAAATTATATCAACGTAACTCCTTTCCCTTCAGGACGGTGTCCCAAGGCGCTGGTATAGATAGCGTGTTCCGTGTCCGTGCACCACTTTTTTTTGGGGGGGGGTTTAATGGAAATAAATGTGTGTCCCTTCAATGCTTTGAATTTAGATGACGAGGTTAGTTATTGTCGTGGCAACCGAGGGAAGAAGCTTGAGGCCTTTTTATTTTGAGCTGCGGACACCCGTATTAGCTGTGAGCCACGCACACCAGCGCTCTCGTCGAGGCACGTAATGCTGCAGATCCCACTGCTGGAATCATCAGAGCAGCCTCACAGCTGGACTTTATCTTAAAATTACATCCCCTGTGGCTCTGCGGATGTAAAATGCTGAAGCAGCAATTTTGCGGTTCCAATGACTTCTAGATCAGTACGGGAGGTGTCGTAACGTGTCGTTCCGACACATACACTACCCCTCCCCGTGCGCTTGTTTTCGAGTAATAGTTTTCGCTTTACGAAATATCGCGTTGCTGCTGAGGCTTTGTAACTTTCGTGCCAAATCGGCTTGGAAAAGGGAGAAGGCGCAGGGGAAAGGAAGGGAAGAGTACAATGATTTGGCAATCGTAGCCCGATCGCCCTCACTATCCGGCTCAAGCTCTTGGGTGCTGGAAAGCCATCGTTATTCAGGGGTGTTAGGGAATGAGAGGGGAGCGTGAAAACGAGGCTTTGATCTCATTCAGAAAAGGTGAACGGCAACTCTTTGTGGATTTGTGAGTCTGCAAACAGTTGCCTGGCCTCGTAGTGAACGTGGGTGCCCAACAAGAGAACATTTCTGGAAGTGGGGCTTCGATACCAACTCCTAATCATAGATGCAAGCTCCTCGGTTGATGCGGGTGGAAGAGGGAAGGAGGCAGTGAAGTTGAGGTGTGAGATGTTACCTGTGGACACTGCTCTGTGGACGAAACCGTGTTTCCCTCAACAAAACCATTCAGCAGACTCTCTTTGTCTACTTCATACGTTCAATTAAAACAACACACTGCAGTGCACGCATGCTTAGCTTTAGACTATGTTTAGCTAGACGTCATACTTTGCGTAGATTTTTCTGGAAAACAGACAATACGGTATATAAATATTTTTTCCATCTGAGACGCTTCAGAGGTTTGCCTTACCCGAACGTATGTAATTGTAACTGGCAGTCGTTGCTCATAGACTTGAACCAAATAGATCAAGGCTGGAGAATATCTTGTGGATCTGCTGCCTCGTTGCGAACTGTCGCAGATCCTATTGTGAATGAGCCCGTATTACATATTAAAAAAAGGTTGTTTTTCTTTTCTCTTTCTCTCTTATTCTGTCTGTGCCATGACTTTGGGGTATAATTGATATGAAATGATGCCTTCACTTTATTATGTCTGTTCAATAAATTGGAACGATTACAGCAGTTTTGAACGATAGCGTCGGTCTTTGTGGCTTGTGTTTGAGTTTCTTTTCACTCCAGTTGAAAATGCTTGTCCTTGCTTTCAAAACACTCCACGGCCTTGTTCCTCCCTACCTCTGTGACCTGCTAACCCCATACTGGCCTGTCCGCTCCTTCTGCTCGGCGGACTCTCGCTTGCTCCACGTCCCCCATCCTTGCCTTCAGTCGCCCTCCTACCCCTGCCCTCCACCCCTCCTGTTCCCAACCCCCAGCTCGGGTTGAAATCCCTAACTGTCCAATGTCTGGGGACATCCTCCCAATGTGAAAAGCGCTACACAAATGTAATTTATTGTTGTTGTTCACTCATTACTCCCCTCCCCCACCCATCACCCCAGGTCAGTCGGTGGAAAGGTGTTCCAGTTTCAACCTTGCTCAGAGCTTGTGAATCTGTGCCTGCATATCTGTTCCAGGTGTGTTTTTATAGCATTTCTTCTCCCCATGCAATTAGCCACTGCTCCACATTTCCCCTGAAGCTAAGTACAGTTCCAGAAGTGCCAATTTCTGAATCCAGTCTCCCTAGGTAGCTATTCTTCTTGTGTGAGATTAGATACATGAGCGCTTGCAAAGGCTGTTTCACTGGGAGCATTGCAACCAAGTGCAATCTTAACCTCTCCCCCTCCCCAGACGAATGTTCCGTACCCCCCAGCAAGGGAATGCTAGATACTGACAAGGACAACTCTACCTGATTTGTCTTTTATCGTTCCTAAACAGGTCACTGTAATACCCAACTGGAAGTTGTCAGCCTGGCTTTGATTGTGGCACTCTAGCCTCCCAAGTCCAGAAGAAGGGGTCTTTGCTGGGACATTGCTGTGTGCAAATTGATTTTAAAAATATTGCGTTCAAAAATAAACAGTCACTTTACATAGTGTGAAGCGCTATGGAATATTTCAACAACGCCATAAGGCACTTAAGAATTATTAATCACGGTTTGGACTTTAGTTTTTTTTAAGACTTAAGTAAGCAGTCGCACCCGGGAGAGAGTGCCTTCCATTCCAGCAATCTAGCTCTGGAATTTCCATGTGTAGGTGGGATGCATGGAATTCTCCGCTTACTCTTAAGCACGGTGATGGATTTCCGCATGTGCCAGAGACCGACCGGGCTGACCAAAAAATAAAAGTCTTTCATTCATAATAAATCATGCTTGAGGATAATTAAATGAACTCCTTTCATACTGATCCAAACCTGCATTTCTGTGATGTTCCAGTCACTGGGAAGTTAAATTCTTAATTCCCTGCATTTCATTTCACACAATTCTGATCAAGCCCGTCACTGGGGAAAAAATACAATGATGTGTAATATAGCTAAATGATATCCACCCCTATTATGTTACAAAATGACAGTCTTTCTATCTAAATTAAGCTGAAAGCTATTGCGATCCCTTCAATCTTTATTTAGGTAGATGGCTCTACTTAGTCAAATGCTAAGTATAATGATGATCACAATCAAAGCATCGAAAGCATTCATTTATCATCTGTATAGGATAGTCAATGATTACTAGTGTGTGCAGTCACAAAGCTAATATCACAACACTAAGCGCTATAGGCTGTAACATTTTGGGCCAGGGTTTTATTAAAAGATCCTTCTCCCTTCTCCCTTACAGAATAACTTTACAGACGTTAACTCGAGGTTCTGTTCAGATGGACGTTAAAAATCCTGTGGCACTGTCCGAAAAGAGAAGGCAGTTTCTCCTGGTGTCTTGGCCAACAATCCCCAGATAAAACTAGTCATTCACTTCATGCCTGATTATGGGACATTGTGGTGTGGAAGTGGGCTTCTGCGTTTGACTACAAAACACATTTTACAGAAAGTAATAATGATAACAATGCTTGCATTTGGTATAATGACTTATCACGTCAAGATGATGTCTCAAAGCGCTTCACAGGAAATACAGTGAAATGGAGTGACTGTGTATTTCTAGGCAAACTTGGCAGCTGTGCTGTGCTGTGGGATCTTTAACATCCACCTGAACAGGCAAACAGGACCTTGATTTAATGTCTCAGCTGAAGTACAGCAGTTCCAACAATCCAACACCCTTCCAGCAGGCCAGAAGCTTAATTCTATGGCTTCAGCAATGAAAATGGCCTTGGGGAGAATGAATTTGTCTTTGACCCATTTCAATTCTTTAAAGATCACATGAATGCCATCTTGTGAAGCCATTTGAGACGTCCTCCTGACATGCAACGCACTTTAACAAACACAAGGATTATTATTATTATAAATGTCTGACAGAATTTTTTTTAAGCAATTGATACTGACCAATATTAACAAGTGAAGCTTACAGTTGGGAATTGATTTTAAACAGTAGATTGAACAGGGCTTTTGACTTAACATTTACTTTTGTTAATTTAAATGCCCCGAATAAGCTGGTGCCTGATCTAGTTTGTAAATAGTGCAAAGCTTATGTTCTCTTTGATTCTAATACATTCACTAATAACATACAGTGACATCTGTTGGCTCAATACTCTGTGTGTAACGGGAGGCTGAAGTCAACTTAAGCTTCTTAAGGTAATTGGGTTCCAGTGCAGCCGAATTGGAGAAAGAGCGTTTGCTGAGCTTTGTATCTGCACTGAGCTGAACAACGTTAGAGTGACAGGTGTTACCCAATAATGATCTGAAGAACTCTGCCTTTTTCATGTATCTTAACTTCAACTGGGCATGAAGTCAAGTACTGTAAGGGGAACTGGATAGCAGAAGTCCACATTGAAGGAGAGAAATTCCACGTGGATCTAGACTTATTATACCCTTTCCTCAGCTTTTCAAAGCGTCCAAAATCTGTCAAGTCTGTACTTCAAGCCTTCATTTTGAAGGTAGCTTCTTTTAAGATCTCAAAATTAAGCCCAGAGTTAAAGATTCTGCCAAAAACTGGATGCTTTGAACTGCTGAGAAAACTGCAAGTCCAGACCAAGGAGGACTTTTTCTGTCTCTGCACATAGACAACCCTCGGGTCAGGATGTAAATCAGGTGGCATTTTTTATTTGTTTCTCTCGGTAAAACTCGAACATTCTGGGACCGAGCAAAATTATTTTATTGTAATTTTTTAACTGCAGTGAAAGGACAGCCTGCTCTGAGCGCTGGTACAAACTCAGTGGACCCGCTGTACATTTCTATGATGATATGATTCTCGTACTCGGCCAGTTCAGCTAGCTTGTCTGTTATGTCTTTGCTTTTTAAGCCCTCCATGGCCTTGTTCCGCCTTATCTCTGCAATCTACCAACCCACCCACTCCCTCCACTCGACAGGCAGTGTCCTGCTCCATGTCCCCGGCCCTGCGTGTCCCACAATCGGCGGTCAGGCCTTCAATCTTCCTGCTCCCACCCTTTCAAACACCATTCCGGAGTCTCTTCGCCTCGNCCCCCCACTCCCTCGCCTCCTTCATGGCCAGTCTCAAGACCTTCCTCTTTGACTATGCTTTCAACCACCCTCTCACAGCTTCCACCCTCCTTTGCCCTCCAGCCCTTTTGATTCCAACCACCAGTTGGGGTGCAAACGCTTCACTGTCCAGCACCGTGGGACATCCTCCCATTGTGAAAGGCGCTATATAAATGCAATTTGTTGTTATTTATAATAATAATATTGCTTGCATTTGGTATAGCACCTTATCATGTCATCGAGATGTCACAAAGCGCTTCACAGGATTTTAGTATGAAGTGTAGTGACTGTGTATTTGTAAGCAAACACAGCAGCTAATTTCCACACTGCAATGTCCTACAAACAGCCATGAAGTGAATGGACAATTTTACCTGGGGAATCATTGGCCAGGACATTTTGAGAAAGTGCCTTTTCTTTTCAAGTAATGACGTAGGATCTTTAAAGGCCGCCAAAACAGGCAGATAGGATCTCGGTTTTAACCTCTCATCCAAAGAATGGCACCTTCAACAACGCACCACATTCCAACACTGCACCGGAGTGTCAGCCTAGACTGTGTGAGTTCAAAGTTATGAACGAAACTGTTGTATAACTTTGCAGAGGCAGAGGAAAGAACAACAACAACAAAATGACATTTATAAAGCGCCTTTTGTGTTGGGAGGACGTCCCAAGGCGGGTCAAGACCCGAGCATGGGGGAGGGGTGGTGTAGGCGTGAGGGAAGCCAGAGAGGTGGGAGGGTGACTGAAGGCACGATTGAAGAGGAGGGTCTTGAGACCGGCCTTGAAGTAGGCAAGGGAGGAAGCGAGGCGAAGGGACTGTGGGATGGAGTTCCAGAGTGTGGGGGCAGAGAGGCTTGAAAGCCCGGCCACCGATGTTAGGGCGGGTCGGGTGGGAGACATGGAGCAGACCGGAGCCCGGTCTTAATTGCTTAGCAATTGCAAACACACGACTGCAGGTACGATTCCACCAAGACAGTTGTTATGCATCATTTTCCTTTGACCTGATTGTATTCACAACAAGTCTCAAGTATTGACTTTCTTTAAAAACCTTGTCAAAATGGGTCATGAAATTAATAGCGTGCCGAGGGGAAGTGATGGCCAATAAAATACTTGTGTTTATTATATGTTGTGGTGGGCGAGTGGTGGGCGGGATGGATATCACTGCGGGCAGGGTCTCTCTCTCCCCCTCTCTCATCTCGGGGATCTTTGCAGTGCTATATCAATCTTGACAACCAATGTTCTGAAAATAGGTTTGAGATTAATGTACGTTTCCCATCCTGCTCCATTACGAGATCTTTAGAAACTGCAGCACTGATGCGCCTTCGCTCCTGTATGCAGATAAAACTGCCACATGGAAAGTAATGTATTGTCAGTCCTCAATTGAACGGTGGCCACTGCATAATAACACACTTGATCATTGGCAGCTGTTATTAACGGCCTTTTTCTGTCCCGATATTACAGGACTTCGAACGGCAAAAACATATATTGCAGTTAACACTACACATGCACAAACCATGTGTACATACGTACATACATTCATACACACACACACACAAACACGTTTACACACACCTGTACACAGAGTACACACATATACA